GTTCATGTGATGAAGACACACACCCCAGATAACACAGACCCACTCAGCACGTAGCCTTCCTGCCTTGCTCCTTCTTTCCCTCCCTATAAAAGCCCTTGTCCCTGAGCCCCCAAAATGGAGCCGAGGACAAGAGCCCCATCTTCAGAGCTTGTCCTTGGCAACCTGACTCCTTCCTGCCAGTGAGAGAGAAAAGGAGCCTGCTAGACCATCAGGACGAAGGCCCCTCCATGAAGGCTCTCATCCCTGACCATAGCCTTGAGCTGTCCTAGGTGCGGATTCCTAGACGGCACATCACCATGGCTGTTAAGAGTCACACAGGCAGGCCCCGGGTCAGGTCACATGTGTCCCATTGACCCTGGAAGACTTGCATGTGAACAGCAAATCAACGGGACCCCAGAGGTGTGCACAGGATTGGGCATCCAATCAGAGGGGGCTTAAGGACACATGGAAAGCTCTGATTGGGTTTGGGGACTGATGTGGCCCGCAGGCTGACCAGTGATCTTGAGTCATGTAGCTCCCTCCTAGAGACGCCTTGTTAACCCCTATACAAGGTCTCCCAGGCGGTGCCCTCCCCTGGAACACCCCCCTCCCCCATTCCCCCCAACAGAAGCTCTACTTATCTTTTCCTCCAATAAACCCTTTGCCAGGTTACTTCTCCCTCTGTGTCTGTGGACTCGTTGAGAGTCATAGAGGAAAAAGGACCCAATTGAGATGTCACAGTTTTTCAGTATCATTATTGTAGCCTAAATATTGGCCTTTCTGAGGTGAGCAACATGAGCATTATTCTAGTAACATTCTTACCTCATTAATAAAAATTAATGTCATTAGTACCCCACATTCAAAGGTGTGTATGCATTTTAAGAAACTCGTCCTTTTCAGCTGGACACCGGTGGTTCATGGACTGGGCACTGTTCCTGAGCTTTTTTGCTCAAGGCTAGTCCTCTGCCACTTGAGCCACAGCTCCACTTCAGCTTTTTGTGGTGAACTAGAGATGAGTCTCATGGACTGTCTTGCCCAGGCTGGCTTTGAACTGTAATCCTCAGGTATCAGCCTCCTGAATAGCTAGGATTACAGGTGTGAACCACCAGCAGCTGGCTGGTGCTTTTTTCCCCAAGCAAAGGGCTCAGGCTGTCTAGGTACACTGGCTAGCAGCCCTGCAGGCCCAGAAGACATTCAGGTCTTTCTCAACCCTCTGGTCCCACAATTGCCTCTCACCCATTACCCCGAAGGTCTCACTGGCTGCCTTTGGTTTCTCAAACGTTCTCCCTCAGGGCCTTTTCATCTCCTCGGGATCTATTCCCTTTCCTTCCCTTCCTTACATGGCCTTTCTTTCCCTTCCCTCCCCGCCCTTTCTCTCCTTCCTTTTATTCTGCCTCTTGCCTTGCTTCCCTCCACTCTTTTTCTTTTCCCTTTCCTAAAGAGAGATACTCCCTCGGGAAGAGCAGAGCTTGCACACACTGGCCGGCTTCCTCTTTCTTCTACCTTTGCTCCCTCTGAGCCCCCAATCTCCTGGGTGATAACACTCAAGTCAACTCGCAGTCTCAGGAAACAACCTCACAGACACACCCACAGTGTTCGACTGTTCATCTTGACAATCAAATTGAAGCATCACAGGGCTCTTGTACAGGTCCCTGGTGACCCCATGTCCGTATCCAGTGGTCAGTCTAGGAGATGGGAAGGTGATGCCACCTTCCTGCCACTGCGGCTCTTAGAGTGGACACATCTGGCTTCTAGGAATCAGGTGCTAGGTTTTCCTTCCACCATGGCCGTACCTCCTGGGGCTCTGCTGGTCTGTCTCAGCCCTTTTACTGTGTGGTTGATCCCAGTCTTAGTGATCTGTCCAGGTTTTCAACTTCCAAATGTGTACTTCCGGTGGTGCCATTTCTTCTGGATATCCATGCCATCTAATCCACTTGAACACATCCTAAGGTGAATTCTGCTTTTTTTTTTTTTTTTTTGGTTCCGGTCATGGGGCCTGAACTCTGGGCCTGGGCGGCGCTGTCCCTCAGCTCTTCAGCTCAAGGATAGCGCTCTACCACTTGAGCCACAGCGCCACCTCAGGCTTTTTTCTTTTTGCTTATATGGTGCTGAGGAATCGATCCCAGGGCCTCAGGCATGCAAGGCAAGTGCTCTACCACTGAGCCACCTTCCCAGCCCTGAATTCTGCTTTTTAACTCCAGACTCTGCAACATACCCACCCATAACTCTTGCTGCCCTGGCTAACGCTAACTGCCCTCTTAACACTGGTCAGACCCAGAAGTCTGCAGTCATTCCTAATTCTGTTCTTCCACTTCCCACATGCAATCAATCTGGAAAGACTTCATGCTTGGACCATAGATATATCTAGAAGTTCACCCTTTCTCTTCAGCATCACTGCTGTCACCCAGTGGCATCCCACACCTAGATTTTTGTTTTTGAGATTATGTATCCCAGGCTGGCCTAGAACTCACAACCCTCCCTCCTGCCTAAAGCCGTAGTTAGACTCACATGCTGCACTTCCTCTCCTGGATGATTTCAAAACACTGCTCCTTTACAATCTGTTCTCCACATACCCACACATGCTCTTGTGCACTATGAGTCAGATCTTCTGCCTCCCATCTCACTGGGAATAAAAAAATGCGGAGAAAAATGGAAATGACCCACACCATGGTGAGAGAATCTTTTAAGATGAAGCACAAGAGAAGATGTCAGCTCTCATTATTTTTTTGTTTTGTGGTCCTGGGGATTGAATCCAGCCCTTGCACATGCTAAGTGAGCTTTCTACCACTGAGCCACACCTCAGCCCCTTACACTAGCACACAAGGCCTTTCTTCCTGATCTGGTCCTGGCAGCCTGTATGACCCCAAGTACTTCATCACACTCTGTACACTGGAGTGCTTCTCCCCAAGTCATGCTACGACTGAGCCCTGCACTGCTCCCAAATCTCCTTTCAAATGTCACTGGTGGGCTGGGAAGGCGGCTCAGTGGTAGAGTGCTTGCCTTGCATGCAGCACAACATAAGCAGAAAAAGCCAGAAGTGGCGCTGTGACTCAAGCGGTAGGGCGCTAGCCTTGAGCTGAAGAGCTGAGGGACAGCGCCCAGGCCCAGAGTTCAGGCCCCACGACTGACCAAAAAAAAATGTCACTGGTGTCGGAAGTCTTCCAGAACCCGTCTAAAATAGCAACTCCCACACCTCAACTTGCTGGGCTCTTTGTGTCTTGCATTATTTTTGTTCATAACCGGTTTTTTCTCACACAACATAGTTTATAGTTACTGATATATTTGTTATATGTCTCCTCTACCTAGAGTGTTGGCTTTACGAGTTAGAGGTTTTTGTCGTTGTTCATTGCTCTAGTCCCTGTAAGAGCTAACACAGAGCCAGGAACACACCTAACACTCCTTGTTTCATGTGGGAAGAAGTCACTGTGTAGCCAGACACCCATGGCTCATGCTTGTAATCCTAGCTTACTCAGGAGACTAAGACCTAAGGTTCTTAGTTCAAAGCCAGCCTAGGCAGAAAAAGTGCGTAAGACTAGTATCTCCAATTAAGCAGCAAAAAGCTGGAATTGGAGCTATGGCTCAAGTGGTAGAGATGGTGCCCAGTTCTTTAGTTCAAGTCTTAATACCAGTCTTATTACACACACACACACACACACACACACACACACACACACGCAGTGAAATCTTTCATGGCATAAATTGTACTAATATTTTCAGTGAAAGTCACTTAAGTCATTTAAATGCTTGGCTCATCATTTGAATATTTCTGCATCACCACAAGAGTCCTACATGTGTACAATTTACACAAAACCACATATTAATGGAATAGGGACACCCCTTCACTTTTTTCCCTAATGTGTTCTAGAAGAGGAATCAAAATAGAGGTTTTTATTCCATCACTGTTTTAGATTTGTCCTATCATTATTCTGTCCTATCATTATTCTGCATCAAGGACCAACTTCTTTAGCTTCACTATGATTATGCAACCAGCTACTTCAACATAAAATGTCTTAAAACACAACTACTTAGGGGAAATTACATGTAATCTCCCCTCTCTGGGGAGAGAGGCAGGAAGACTGTGAGTTCCAGGTCAGCAAGGGCTACCCTGTGAGGCTGCCTCAAACACACACACACAAAACAAGATGAGCCGGGTGCAGGTGGCTCACACCTGTGATCCTCGTTACGTAAAGAGGCTGAGGTCTGAGAATTGCAGTTCAATACTAGCCTGGGCCCAAAAGCCCCTGAGACTTTTATCTACAATTAACTTCCAGAAAGCCAGAAGTGAAGCAGTGGTTCACACCCAAGTGGCAGAGTGCCCGCCTGGAGCACACAAAGCTCGGGGAGACCATTAACTTTTTCCACATGTGCCGTTGGCATCTTTCTCTGACCTTTCCTATCGTCTCGAGGGCTTGCAGTGAGACCACCTTTACCTGTCCGAATACTGTTATTTTTGCTCTTCGTCTCCATCGTTCAGGTGTACCGAATCCTTCACCTTTCAAAGAGCCAGCATCAGCCTGCGGAGCCGTCTGCTGGACGTTTGCTTCCTCTCCTCCCTGTCTGTCTGCTCTGGCTTGGGGCTGGTGCGAGGGCCCGGGCCTGCTCCTCGCCCCCCCCCCCCCCCCCCGCCCCCAGCTGGGCTTCCCCCGGGAGCCCTCCTCCACGTCGGGTAACCTCTCGAACGTTCCTGCCCAGGCTGGCTTCGAACCGCACTCCTCAGCGCTCACCCGAGCAGCTGGGGTTCAGGCGCCCCTGAAAACATAAAAACCCCAAACAGGACGGTGGGTGTCGCGCGACACCCGCAAGCCCCGCGTGCTCCCCCCAGAGACCCCGCGCGCGCGCAGCGCGCTCACCGCGCCGCCGCACCGCACGCGGGTCTCGGAGAATCCCGCGAGGTCGAATCCCGCCGGCGCCGCCCCCTTGACCGTCATTGGCTGGCTTTCAGATACGCAAGGGCGTCCGTGCGGCGGAACCTAAAGTCAGGGGCGAAGGTTCCAACCGGAAGTTTCCACCCGCTGCTCCCGGAAGTGTCCTCGCTGCCGGGGTAACGGGACTCCGCGGCTGTGGGGGCGGCGCCGTGATGGACCGAGAGGACGCGGTGAGGAGGCGGGGGAGGGGGAGAAAGCGGCGGGGCCTGGTCCCCGACCGCGGGGCGAGGGGAGGGAGGTCGAGGCACAGCGGGAGGAAGAGGCCAGCCGGCTCGAGGGCATCTCTGCGAAAGGAGGGCGAGACGCGGGGTGGGCCTGGCGGGCCGCGTGTTCGCGGGGGACTTGGGAGGGAGGTGGCTCTGGGAGGGGAGGCCCTGGCGGGGAGGCCCCATCAGGGAGGCTCTGGGCAGGGACACTAGCCAGACGGCTGGAGTGAACGTGGCTAGGGGCGTGTTTAAGGAGAAGGGTGAAGTTCTGGGTTGGTGGGGTGGCCACCCACACAGCTCGGTGTGTATCCAGAGCTACCTGCAGTTCCCTTCCATGCTAAGGTTGTGGGGGGGGCTGGAACCCCAGTGCCTGCGAACGACACCTGTCTTGGCCATGTCTGCTGTACAGGGATGTTCAGTTCGGGTTTGGGGACCAGCTCCTTCCTCCAAATGTGTTTTTGTCAGTCAATACTGGATCACTGAACAATAGACCCAAGTTGTCAGAGTCGTCACGAATTTTTGAGTTGCTACATAAAGTGCTTCACTTTAGTGCTGTTACACGAATATTCAATAGTTAGAGCAATCATAATAAACATCAATAAGTTTGGAATCAAAGTATTTGTGCAGGGCTGGGAAGGTGGCTCAGTGGTAGGGCGCTTGCCTTGCATGCTTAAGGCCCTGGGTTCGATTCCTCAGCACCACATAAGCAAAAAGAAAAAAGCCGGAAGTGGCACTGTGTCTCAAGTGGTAGAGCGCCAGCCTGGAGCTGAAGAGCTGAGGGACAGTGTCCAGGCCCACGACTGAATCCCCCCCCCCAAAAAAAAGATATATTTAAAAAAAAGTATTTGTGCACAGACACAGCATGATGGTAGAAGGCCTTATAATAGGTAATAAATGTTAGTTCAGCTCGGCGCTGGTTGTTCAGACTTGTAATCCTAGGTTCTCAGGAAGTTGAGATCTGAGGATTGAGGTTTGAAGCCAGCCCAGGCAAGAAAAAAGTTGATGAGACTTTTTATCTCCAATTAACCATCAAAAACCCAGAAGTGAAGGTTTGACTCAAGTATTAGAGCAGCAGCCTTGAGCAAAAAAGAGAAAGGACAACACCCAGACTTTGTTCATCCCTAGTACAAGTACAAAAAAATGTTAATTGGATAATGAGGGATTGATATCTAGATGCTAAATGGATAAAAATTTGCAACAATCCATACATGTATGCTCTGAGTAGTCACCATGACTTTTGCTCCCTATTGAGTCTCATCACCGAGTCTAGTACACATGTAGTTAATATCCTTTGTACTGCTCAGTGAATGAATCAGAATTTGAAACAACTCCAAAAAAAGTCTTAAGTTCCTTTGCACTCTTTTTAGTGTCCTAGAGGAAGTTCCAAATGGTATTTCTAATTTTGTCATCTTTCAGGTTCTATTTGGAAGTTCAATTTGTTCAGTTTTCTATGATTTTTTTTCATGTATTAGGATACAATTGCTAGGAACCCTTTAAGAAGTAAGAGCCAAAGGGTTTAGATATATGTGTTGAAGGTGGTTTGATAATAACACCTCTGTATTCTCTCATAGAAAGAGTTTAAAGAACGCTGTTCCCAGTGTGCTGCTGTCTCCTGGGGTCTCACTGATGAAGGCAAATATTACTGCACTACTTGCCACAATGTTACAGAGGTGAGTCACAGATACCATTTATGAATTCGCTTTTGTTTTTGAAATTGCAGTTTTAACATGACATATACCTAGTTTGTCCCATATTGATGTGTTTTAATCACTTGCACCATTTCCAAATTCCGAGAATATAAGTCACTTTCAAGTGCTCACTCTTGATTTAAGGCATTTGTAAACAGATCAAGAATGATATTTGGGGAGTATGTGTGAGCCACATTTATAAATTTTTGATACTGTATGATGTAAGGAGAAATAATTAGCATTGTAGTTAGAAAGTGATACATTCATTTTTATTGGTATTTAAGAGTTTTAAATGTGTTGCACTAGCTTAGTGATTCAGAAGATGAAATGTGAAAAAAATGTTAGGAGTATTGGAAATGTCCTTCATTATTATTTTGTCTTTGTGTAGTACTTATAAGTGTTTTTGTTAGTTTGGTGGTACTAGAAGTTAAACTCTGGGGCCTTGCACATGCTAGGCAGGTGCTCTACCACTTGAGCCATGCTTCCAGGTCTTTTTGCTTTAGTTGTTTTTCCGGTAGAGTCTTATGTTTATGTTTTGGCCAGTCTGGAGCATAGTCTTTTATTTATACTTCCCATGTAGCTGGAATAACAGGTACATGCTGTCATGCCCATATTTTTTTGTGTGTGGTTGTGTGCTGGGTCTGGGTGCTGTCCCTTAGTTTTTTCACTTAAAGCTGGTGCTCTACCTCTTGAGCCACATACACACTCCTGGCTTCTGGGTGGTGAATTGAAGATAAAAATCTCACAGACTCGCTGGGAAGGTGGCTCAGTGGTAGAGCGCTTGCCTTGCATGCATGAGGCCCTGGGTTCGATTCCTCAGCACCACATAAGCA